CTCTTATCGGATTGAAGCTGAGCCTGTCCCCACCTTGTAAGCAACATTTATTAGATCATCCTGTTTAAGATACCTATGATTCTTTACTTTGTGTATTGTGCAGTCATATGTCATCGTGGTTGTAAGAGAAAATGATCATTTTATTCTCTGTATAAAAATGTAGCTGTAAAGCAGAAATTAAAGAAACATGCTGGAAGGATGTCTCCTCATCCTCAGGACTCAGCAGTTCCCCAGTGCCCGGGAGTGAGCACACCGCTTATTCTGCTGCTGTTGTCGCAAAATATGACAGTGGAAGTCACAAAAATGTCCCCGCCCAGCCCCCGCCTTCCTTTCCCTCCCGCAGACTGTGTGTATCTTACTGTGTCTCGTGATGTTGCAAACGTGGTGTATGCTAGTTCAGCGCAGCCTCCGCCTTCCTTTGACACTGTTCCTCGCCCACCCTGTTAGATGCATCGTGGCGTTCTCTTCTGCTTTGAAATCTCCCTCTGCACTCAGATTAGTTTTCAGGTCTCCTTCTGGTCACCCTCTCCCCTTATGAGATCTTATTTCCTTAGGACAGAACCGTAGGGCCTTGCCTTGGTTTGTTTTTTACCGTCGCTGCTTGTTTTGTCCCTTCCCTCTGACAAACGATGCTCATGCTTCAGGATTTTGTTTGTCAAACATGTTGGTTTTCCTTTCTCTGTTATTTATATAAAAATAATTTATCAAAAGGATATTTTAAAAAAGCTAGTCTGTCTTGAAACTTGTTTACCTTTAAATGATCAGAATCTCAGTGTTTGAAAGTATTGAAGCACAAACATGTACCATCTCTGTACCATTCTGTACTAAAGCACTCAAGTCTAATAAATAAAGAAATCAGCGCCCACTCATGTCCAGGGCAACTGCCAGGTTGGTTTTACTGCGGGGAGTGGGAAAAAAAGCCCTTTACAATCCCCCCTGCAGAGGAGGCCAGCCGCCCCCAGAGGGAGCTCCGTCTTCTCCATTGGTCACCTCATTAAATCCTGTTCTACTAGTGTGGGTTGGAAATGGCTTGAATACCCCAAAGGGTGTAGGCTTTCAGTGCTTGGTCTTTCGAGAGATAGTGCTAGAAGATAGCAGAAACTTTGAAAGATGGGGCTTAGTGAAAAATAATCAGATGACTGAGGGTGCCCCCCCCCTTAGAAAAGAGCAATCCTGGCCTCCCCTGGTCCTTGGCTTCCTGTCTTGGCCTTTGATTGCTGTTCCACCATGCCATCAGCCATAAGGGGGCATTATGGGGCCAACCTTATGCCTGCGCCATGCTCGTTAACTTCCAACACAATGAGCAAAATAAACCTCTTTATGTGCTACCCAGCCTCAAGTATTTTGTTATAGTAACAAAATGGCCTAGGACTTCTTTGTAGCATTTAGAAATCTTAACAGTCAACCCTGGTGAGGCTTGCATTGTGAGGAGGTAAGGAGGATAATGACCACTTACTGGCCATGCCAGGCTGCTCATGACCCCATCTGCTAAGTGAGTCCTCCAGATTTGCAGATGAGGAAACTGAGGCCAGAGTCCAAGTTATCTGTGTCATTCAGCACTGATGGAGCCCATCACTCCAAAGTCTGCAGTGGTATGAAACACTGCGGGGGAAAGAGTTCTGAAGCAAACCAGAGGTTACCCAAAACATCATGCCTCTGATGAGCAATCCTAAAACCGTGAGCTGCTGCCAGTCATTTGGCCCTTCCAGAGGCCCTGGTCCACACTGGGGCATTCAGCAGAGTGCTGCAAGCCAAGAACTCCCCTCAGTTTGACACTAGGCACCTGTCCCCAGGAAGGCAGAATGGCAGGGACTGTTTGGGCAGGGCTTCCTTCCACATGACCTCGACGCGGGACTGTGCTTCCTGAGGAGAAGCTGAACCCGGCTTGCTGTAAGCATGTTAAACATCCAGTCGTTGGTGAGGATGACAGCTCCCAGCACAGCCTGGGGAGAGGGAGCCCGCACTCATGAACTGCAAAGTCCACATGGTCATCAGCCAGAGGGGACACAGTGCGCATTTACCCTGGAGCATTCTGAGCCCCTCCAGTTCTGTAGGTCAACGTGAATAAATCCCAGAGACTCAGCGTTCGGTGAAGAGCAAGGTATGGAAGGAGCCACGCAGAGCGATGCACTTTAACGAAAGCTTTAAAACCTCACAGAAAGCACCCAAGGGCGGGGGTGCAGCTTGGTGGTAGAGCGCATGCTTAGCATGCACAGCGTCCTGGGTTCAGTCCCCAGCACATTAGGGGGACGAGCACTGTGCGTCGCTCACAGATGCTTATGTTGTAGGTGTCTAGAAGCATGCACGGGCAGTGCTGCCGTCAGGCTAGCTGCCACTCCTGGGCAAGGATGATTGTTATCCCATTAGCTAGCTCTTCAGTCCCCAGAGCGTCCATGACGTACCCCAGTGCGTCATCGCTCAGGCGTGGAAGCTCGTACCTGTAGAAGCACTCGGGAAGCTGAGGCAGGAAAGTGCCAGTTTAGGGCTGAAAAGGACCTCTAATCCCAATTTTTTTTTTTTTAATCCTAGCTTTTTGAGGAATCTCCACCCTGATTTCCATAGGTGTTGTACCAGTCTGCACTCCCACCAACAGTGGAGAAGGGTTCCTTTCTCCCCACAACCCCTCCAGCATTGTTATTGGTTGACTTCTAGATGATAGCCATTCTTTCTGGGGTGAGACGTGGAGTAGGTAGAGAGTTCATAAACAAAAACCAAACTGCACTTTGTGTGTGTGTGTGTGTGTGTGTGTGTGTGTATGTGTGTGTGTGTGTTTTCCTTTGGAACCAGGGATTGAACTTGGGCCCTTGCACTTGCCAGGGAAGCATTTATTCTATTGAGCCATCTCACTGGCCCCCAAACTGCACTTTTTAAAAAGGTTCTGGGCTGGAGAGATGGCTCAGTGGTCTAAAGCACCTACTTGAAACAAGCTTGGCAAAGCACAGGGACCGCGGTTCGATCCCCAGTACCACATGCCAGCCAGACCCGCCCCCTGGTGGGCTGAGCTGGCCACACACACACACAATAAATAAATGTAATAAATAAAAATAAATAAATATTAAAAAAAAAAAAGGTTCTGCACATCAAAAGAAATCAACAGAGTAAAAAAAAAAAAAACATGAATTGGGAAAAAATTATAGCTGATTGTCCCTCAGACAAAAGACTTACGTCTAAAAGAATCTTTTTGTGTGTGTGTGTGTAACCGGGGATTGAACTCAGGTCCTTGCGCTTACCAGGCAAGCACTTATTCTACTGAGCCATCTTCTCGGCCCCTTTTAAAATTTTGTTGTTTTGTTTTTGGGGTACTGGGGATTGAACTCATTTTTTTTTCCAGAACCAGGGATTAAACTCAGGCCTTTGTGCTTGCCAGGCAAGTGCTTATTCTACTGAGCCATCTCCCTAGCCCCCTAAAGAACCTTAAAAAAAAAAAAAAAAAAAATTCCAGGGCCAGGGTAATAGCTCAGTAGAATAAGCGCTTGCCTGGCAAGCACAAGGTCCTGAGTTCAATCCCCAGTACCAAAAAAAAAAAAACAAAAAAAACCCTTCATAGCTTTTTAGATATGCACTCCTTTGATGGCTGGGCAGTTTACCAGCCATTCCCAAACTTACCGCAAAGATTTAAACCTCTTTGCATGATTTTGCCAGGTTTGGGAGGTCAAGAGAGTAGTGAGTCATTTTCAAGATCTCAGGCCAGCAAGATAGCTCAGCAGACTAAGCTCTCGCTTAGGCTAGCACAGAGACTGAGGTTCCATCCTGGGTACCAACTGTTGGGCTGGCCCCACCCCCTGGGTGCGCTGAGCTGGCCACCGAGGCTGGGCGTGGTGGTGCACGCCTATAATCCCCGTGCTGGGAAGGCTGAAAACAGGAGGATCACTATGAGTCCGAGCTGCGTAGCGAGACCCTGTGCCAAATACATAAATGAAAAAAAAAAAAAAAAAAACCATGGGAACTCGCACATGTGTGGAACAAAATTGTGGTCAGCCAATAAGACTGCAAACACAACTGCTCAGGTAAAATTGATTAAATCCGGGACTAAGAGGGGAAGTGAGTCATGAGTCACAAAGCATGTGCTCCTGAATACAGGAAGAGCTTATCCTGGAGTGGGTGGGTTGGGTTAGTGACTTTCTGGCTTTTTTTTTTTTTTTAAAGGTGATAGAGACCTACATAGATGTTTATCTTTAGGCAGGTATGTAGCTGGATTTGTTTGATCTTTTGTCTTGAGGTCTGGCCCATGGTTGCCCCGTTGTCTGCCTCTCCCACATTTACGAGGTATCTTGCCTTCCATACTGTCACCTGGGATTGTAGCTCAGCAGGCACAAGCACCTGCCTGGCAAGTACAAGGTCCTGAGTTTGATTCCCAGTACAAAAAAAAAAAAAAGGATGAGAAAACCACACTGGCCCCTTCTGAGGGCCTGACCCTGTCTGGCTGCCTATCATCTCTGTGTAACCCAGCTGCCTACACGTTACAGCTGGGTGCCACCATGCACAGCAAGATGTCCTTTCCCACCATGCCACTCCCATCTTGCTTTGGGTGAAGCTAATGCAGCAACTTGGCTGCGTAGCCAAGTCAGCAACGTATGCACAAGATGTCTCAGGAGCCTCAGAGAAGGCGCTCCCGCCAGGGACCTGGATGGCTTCCGGTCTGGGTGGGGGTAGGGGCAGTGGGGAGTTCTAGCCTTCTCTGGTCTCTAGCTTCTAACTGGTCCCCGGGGGCAGGCTGGTGACTTTTAGGGCCCTGGCCACTCCAATTTTCCATATTTCTTATTTCCACTTGGGGAACCCAGGATGCCCCAAGAGCCTGGTCCTGGTCTGAGATTCCACTGCCTAGGACATGCAGGCCTAGGGCCTCAGTGACCCCTCTGCCTTGGAGCGTGAGGTGGGACACAGGAACCCAGCCAGCAAGAGGGCAAGGGCCCTTTAAGCCCCACCTGCCTCCCTGAGGCGTTCCTATGTACCTCACCGGCTTCCTTAGCAACCACCTGGCTTCTGAGGGGGGCCTTGGAACAGTGGGGGCAGCATGGCTCCCAAAAAGAAGACAAACAAGGGAGACAAGGAGAAGAAAGGAGGCAAGAAGGATCCAGGCGCAGCTGTCAAGACCACAGAGACGCCTTCAGTGGAGGAGATGCGGGAGTTCTATCTCATCCAGATTCGAGACCTGGAGGACAGGCTGGCCCGGTGGGTAGGAGGGGAGGCTGGTGCAGCTTGGCCGGGTGCCTCAGACCTGTGCTCTGGCCTCTGCTACCACCCTCAGCCTCCTCAAAAGTGCCGGAAGGAAACGTCAAGACCTGGAGGGCACAGCCAGGCGCAGTCGTGCGCACCTGGACTCCCAACGCCAGAGGCCAAGGAGGATGGTGGCGAGTTCCAGGTCCAGGCCAGCCTGGGCTGCAAAGTGAGCTCACGACCAGCCTGAACTACAGAGCAAAATCCTATCTCAAAACGGCAGAGAGAGAAAAGACAGGAGAGAGGAGAGAAGAGAGAAGAGAGATTGCGAAGTCCGATCGTTTTCCCAGCCCTACTCGGCTTCTGGAGCTGCAGAGTGTAGAGTAGCGCCATCCCACAGGTCCAAGGATCCCTGCTTTACTAGGGAGTGATTAACTGGCGGCCCCCTGGTGGTGGCTGGGCCACACGTCCCTCCTTTCTCCTGACAGTAGCCCAGGTGCCTGCTGACTACCCAGCTGCCAAGTCCTGTTGTTTCTCCATGTTGGACTCAGTTTCCCCAGTGTAAATGAGGAAGGCTGGCCCTCCCCTCCACGAGGATGGCATTCTGGCCTCGGGCTGGTTTTGGTATTTATTTTAATTTTTTTTTTTTTTTGGCAGAACCAGGGATTGAACTCAGGCCCTTGTGCTTGCCAGGGAAGTTCTTATTCTATTGAGCCATCTCCCTGGCCCCTCAGGCTGGTTTTGCTTGTGATGTGTTAGGGAGAGAGGATCCGCTACCGTTCACTTAGATAATTTTTTTTCTTTTTTGTTTTTCTTTTTGCAGTTCAGGCTGGCCTTGAGCTCACTTTGTAGCCCAGGCTGGTCTCGAACTCGAAACGATCCTCCTGCCTCAGCCTCCCAAGTGCTGGGATTACAGGTGTGTGCCTTCATGCCTGGCTCTAGAGATGTGTTTTAAAATGAGCCTCCTCCTAGCTGTGAGGATCCCACGCAGGTAACCAGCAGCGCATCTCAATCTTTTTTTTTTTTCTTTTGCAGTACTGGGGATTGAACTCAGAACCTTGCACTTGCCAGGCAAGCGCCTATTCTACTGAGCTATCTCCCCAGCCCCAAATTGGAGTTTTAGTTTTTTTGTTTTTGGGGGGTTTTTTGTAGAACCAGGGATTGAACTCAGGCCCAGAATTTGCCAGGGAAGCGCTTACTCTACTGAGCCATCTCCCCGGCCTTGCATCTCAATCTTTTTTTTTTTTTTTTCTTCAGTACTGGGGATTGAACTCAGGCCCTTGCGCTTGCCAGGGAAGTGCTTATTCTACTGAGCCATCTCCCCGGCCCCCATGCATCTCAATCTTTGATGCGAGTTCCACACAACACACGCAGGACATCATTTAGCTTTTTTTTCTTTCTTTTTTTTCTTTTCTGGTACTGGGGATCGAACTCAGGACCTTGTGCTTGCCAGGCAAGCACCTATTCCCCTGAGCTATCTCCCTGGCCTTTTAAAATTTTATTTTATTTTATTTTATTTTATGGAAGGGTCTACAGGGTGTTCAAGGTCTCACTACTAGATCAGACTCATAGTGATCTGCCTGTTTGCAGCCTCCCTAGAGCTCAGGCCATCATTTAGGATATAGGGAAGGTTTACTGCCAAATAAGAGAGAAGACCTTCAAGAATCAAGCAGGGCGAGTGCCAAAATGGCAGTTGCAAGGAATGAAGCCGCGCTTACATTTTTATGATTAACTGGGTCATTGCTTTGCTTGACTGATTCATTGATTGATTGGTTGGCTGAGACAGCCTTGCTCTGTAGTTCAGGCTGGCCTTGAACTTAGTGACCCTCCTGCCTCAGCCTCCGGCTGCTGAGATTACAGGTGTGCACCACTGAGCCGTCACGGCAATTCCTTTCCTTTCTCCGAGGTTACTGTTTGTTCACAAGGAAAACAGGCCGAGCTCACTGGCTAGGTCCTCGTTTACCCCACAGGCGTGTTTCCAGTTTTTCCAATCCCTCGGCTTTGCCGTGCTCTGGGCTCGGCCCAGGCCCTGGAGTTCCTCAGCACACTCAGAGGATGTGCCCTTCTCCTGAGCCAAAGTTGGAAACCACAGCTTATGTGGCTTTTACCTACAGCTAATGAGTAAGAAAGCAAGGGATACGAGTGTTCCCTCTGCTTTTCCAGTAGCCCCAGCCACCTGTCTCCTGGGAACACCTAACTTCCTGCCTAGCACCACACTTTTGATGTCCTCACACCAGTCCCACGGGGACATCACCCCACTGCAGAGATGGGGCTGGCGAGGCTCGGAGAGTCACCCCAGGAAGAAGAGGTGCCAGAATGACAGCCTGGCCTCCCCAGCTCCTCAACACTGGGCTCCTTTCTCATCATCGAGGCCGGGGGCCTCTGGACTCCACCATCCCGGAGGGGCCTGTGTACAGAAGCCTTTTGCAAGGTGTTGGTTCTGTAACTTGTGGAGGAGAACAACTTTGCAAATAGCTTCAGTCATTTCATTGGCAACTAGTCTGTTACTCACAGGTTTTCCTGAGCTGAGACACCAGATGGAGTGTGTCAGGAAAAATGCATTCATCAGACAGTTATTGGGTGCTTGGTATTTGCCAAGCTCTCTGTTAGGTCCTGAGAATATGGAGGTGGAGGAGGCCAGGGGGTTGCCAAGTGGAGAAGGGTGAAGTCGTAGGGTCTGACCACCCCATGGAGCAAGATTCCACCTGCAGGACAGAGGGACAAAGGGACAGCAATCTGGCACAGGGCTGGGAAGGGCCCAGTGAGGAGGCAGCAGTGGGTTCCTTCGATGGATAAGGATAAGGAAGACAGCAAAAGGTCAAAGCCTTGGGACTGCAAGGATGGCAAGGAGGGATGCAGAGTGGGCCAACTGCAGCAGCCTGGGCTCTATGGCTAACAGCCTTGGCCTTTGGGTCAAACTAAGGTGCAAGTTCTGGCTTTGCCATTTATTGACTAGGAGGATCTTCATCCCTCTGAGCCTCAATGTCCTCGTCTATAAAATGGGTACAACCACCATAAAGTCTATATCCTTCTAGGTTGTGTGGGTTCAACCACTGGGTACCTGCTAGGTATCAGGCACAGATTTCGGGGTCACACCTGTGATCATAATAGAGGCATGGCCCCCCAGGGCTTACATTCTAGTGATTTAGTAAACATAAAATGCTGAGCAATAGGGGCACAGGGGAGGGGAAGAAGTTCAGAGGCCCCTTTATGGCTGCAGAAGGGTGTGTGTGTGTGTGTGTGTGTGTGTGTGTGTGTGTGTGTGTGTTCAGCAGCATGGCGCAGCAGTGGAGCTCTGGCCTCCTAGCCCCAACCCTGGCCCCGCCGCAGGTACCAGCGCAAGTCCGACGAGCTGGTCTCACAGGAGAGGCTGTCGCGCCAGGAGTTGGAGCAGCTGGCCAACAGCAAGAAGGAGATTGTGGCCTTCCTGAAGCACACGCTCAACCAGCAGGTGGATGAGATCACCGACCTTAAGGAGCAGCTGCAGAACCTGCAGCTGGCCAAGGAGCTGGAGAAGGACGCCTTTGAGGCGCAGCTGGCCCAGGTGCGCCACGAGTTCCAGGAGAACAAGGACCAGCTGACCACGGAGAACATCATCCTCGGTGAGCCAGGGACTGGCCGGGAGCCCCGGGGCAGGTGGCTCCATGTGTGACCTTCTCTGTGACCCCGTTTTCTCATCTGGGCAAAGAGGCTGACTCAGCAAACATGGGCTGCTTTGCACATGGCTTCCTTAATTGTCCCAGACACCTGTGAGGCTGGAGACTTTTCAAAACAGCAGGGGCCCTTTCGGCAGCAAGCAGCACGGTGGTCTGGGCAGGAGGGGGTGGAGCTCTGCTGCTGCTGGTTCCTCTCCCAAGAGGGGGCAGAGCGCAGCATGGCCGGCAGCAGCCTGCACGGGGGAGCCCGATGGGGCCGGGCATGATCAGTGGCAGCCGGACATTCCAGGTGAAGGCAGCCAGCCGGGGACGGCAGCCAGCCGGGCGGGCACAGGAGCGCGGCCGCAGGGGTGCGGGAGCTGCCGCGAGGGGCATCACGCGGGCCTTGTGCGCAGCGGGAAAACTGGCCGCCCTGGAGGAGTTCCGGCTGCAGAAAGAGGAGCTCATGGACAAGTTCATGGCCCTGGAGGACCAGCTACAGAGGCAGGAGAGCGAGTACAAGGACTCCGTGTACAGCCTGGAGAAGAAGTCGGTGCTGGACAAGGACAGGTGGGCGGGCCGCCTCCCTCAGCTTCTACCTGAGGGACAGGCGAGGTCAGAGCCTCCCAGAGCACTGGCAGGGACGTGCCAAGTGATACACTCTTGAGCTTCCCCTGGCCATTTCTCGGAAATTAATTTACTTAATAATTAATAATAGATGGCAATGAGCTAGGTGTGGTGCACATGCTTCTCATTTCTGCATTCAGGAGGCTGAGGCAGGAGGATCACTGCCAGGTAGAAAATCCAAGCCGCAGTAAATCCAAGGCAAGCCTAAATTATGTAGTGAGACTGTCTCAACAATAACCACAAAACTAAAATTGAGGGCAATCATTCAAATTCCAAAGGCCAGGGCTGGGGAGATAGCTCAGTAGAATAAGCACTTGCATGGCAAGTGCAAGGTCCAGGGTTCAATCCCTGGTACCACAAAAAACAAACAAACAAACAAAGGCCCAAAAGGTTTCCCGAGAGGCACAGCCAACCTGTGGCCCACAGGCCTTTGACCCTCTTTTTAAAACTAATTAAAAACAAAGCCCTATTACGGATGTACATGAATTATGTATGTTGTATGCGGCCCGAGCATTCCTCTCCACCCCGTGCAGCCCAGCCTCTTGGGCTCCCCCCCAAGAAGGGGTGCCACAGCATGTGCCCTCTGCCTGGCTGCTTCCCTCTGCCACCCGAGCAGACTGAGGAAAGAGATCATCCAGCGCGTGAACCTGGTGGCTGCGGAGTTCCACAAGATGGCCTCAGACCAGACCTGGGAAACAACAAAGCGAGCCATCATAGAGAACAACACCATGACGCTGCAGCTGGCCAAGGTGTCCCAGCAAGGCGTGCAGCTGCTGCAGGAGAACGAGCAGCTCAAGGACACGCAGGTGGAGCTGCGCAAACAGCTGGGGGTGCTGGAGGGCACCCAGAAGGCCATGGCCAGGAACAGCAAGGGCCACCAAAAGGTGCGCCCGCACACCCTCCTCCTGGGCCGCTTGCCACAGGATTCTGTGGGCAAGGGGGTGACTCAGGGCCTCGCTATGCAGTTCAGGCTGCCCTTGAACTCACCTTGTAGCCCAGGCTGGGCCTAAACTCCTGGCAATCTTCCTGCCTCAGCCTCCCAAGTGCTGGGATCACAGCTGTGTAGCACTACACCCATAGCACACTTGGCACACAAAGCAGGAACACAGGCGCCTTGCCCTCAGAGTGCTCCCTGCAGGAGTGGCTTCAGGCAGGAGCTGGGTGATGAAGGAGGTGGCACAGTAGATGCAGGCCTCTGTGGAGTCCCTAGGATGGTCCCCGCTCTGCATTATTGTTATTTACTTCAAAGCCCTGATGACTTGAAGCAGACAGAGCCTGGTGGTGCCCAGCTGTTATCCAGGGATGGCACTGGCCTCTGTATGGGGGAGTGGGTGAGAGTGAGCCTGGCTGCATCTGGCGCTTGGGGGGCAGGGCAGAGGAGGTCGTCCAGCGGCCCAAGTCCAGCCACCTGCCCACCCTGCAGATCATCCTCATGCTGACCGAGAAGTGCCGCGAGCAGGAGCAGGGCATGGCCGAGGCCAAGCAGCTGCGTCACCTGCTGAACCAGCTGGAGCAGAGTGTCCTGCAGCTGCGGACAGACAACCAGGCTCTGCGGTGCGCAAGCGCGGGGGTGGACTCGCCACATCCCTTTCGGGCCCCACTGCCTGGGCCAGTCAGGCAGGCCTCAGCCTGGGTTTGGATGTGTTAAGAGAGAATCAGCAGCCCAAGCCTAGGCCCAAGGCCACCAGCCACAGCCAAGGAACAGAGGTTGGCTGTTGACTCAGCCTGTCCCCAAGCAGGAGCCAGAGAGATGAGCTGAACCACCTGCAACAGCAGCAGCAGGCTGAGGTACAACGACTACAGCAGGAGCTGTCGGAGGGGCAGAAGATTCGAGCCAGCCTAGAGGGAACTCTGGCTGAGGCCATCTTGTACGTACAGGGTATTCTGCAGGTAAGCCAGAAGTGGAGGGTACGGGGCAAGACAGATACCAGGGAGAAGCCACTTTCAGGGAACTTGGCCACCTGCAAGAAGCTGAGTTCAAAGTCCCTTTGTCCCCTAAGAGACTCTTGTCTAGTCTGTCTTTTTCTTTTTTTGCTTTTTGAGACAGTCTCACTATGTAATTCAAGCTGGTCTTGAACTCACTACGTGGCTCAGGCTGGTCTCAAACTCATGTCAACGCTTCTGCCTCAGCCTCCAAAGTGCTAAGATTATAGATATGCACCACCACACCCAGCTCAGTCTATCCTTTTCTGATTCCGGACTTCAAGACCCCTTCAAGGTCTCCAAAGAACTGAATTCCTCCTCCCAGGCCCTGAGAGGCTTCAGTCCTCAGTCTTCCTACTCAGAGGAAGGGTATTCATCCCTGCCAGGGGACACCGAGAACACAGTTGTAGGGTTGAAGTGTTCCCAAGGTGGGTAGGTGTTGAGGTCCCTGTGGGCCTGACCCCAGCCCCATCCTCATGGATAGATGCACATGGATGAAAAGGACAGCGACTCTGATGTGGCTGTCCAGCTGCAGTGCAAGGGGCTGCTGCACCAACTGCTGGCCCTGTTCAGCTCTGCCGCAGTCCTAAACCCCCAGACGGCTGCACATCCCTGCAGCAAGAAGCAGCCCCATGGCCCGCCCAAGCAGAGGTACACAGGTATCCCTGGGTGGCCTCAGAAGAGGTGGCTGTGCTGCACAGAAGCCTGGCCCTTTAAGCCTCTTTGAGCCTCGGCCTCCGCTTGTGGGAGACTGAGGTGATAAGCCCAGGACCTTCCCCACAGCAGAACCCGCATCCCGATGCCCAAGGTGACATCGCTCCTGCAGCTGTCTGGCACCACCACTTCCCAGCCAAGGCATCTAGGCCTGGTGCCTCGCCAAGGGCACATCCCACCCAACCCCCAGGACATCAGGCTACTCTCTTTTGTCACCCGCATGGGGACTCTCCGGGCACACAGCACTCCTGAGGTGAGTGCAGCACAGGGCCCAGGGACAGCAGGACAGCAGCTGTGGGTGCATAGTGTGGCTCTGCTGGGACACAGCTGTGTAGCCTTTGGGTGTGACTGGACATCCCTGAGCCTCCCCTTTTGTAAAATGTGCTGAAGGAAGGTGGGGCAGGGCATGCCCACACATCCCCTGTGTAGGGGGCTTGCCGGACCTTGTTGTCCCCACCCCACTGACAGGAGAAAGTTGAGATTAGCCACTGTCCCCTGGGAGGATTCATCATCTAAGCTGGCATCTTTAATCCTACAGATCTATGCCTCCGGTGTGCTAAGAAGGCTCAAAAAGTTCAGTCTTCCCTGAAGTTTTCCTGCATCCCAAGTAGCACCTGGTGAGACCAACCCTACCTTACCCCAGACATGGACTGTTCTGGCCACAGTCACTCCCTGGAATCTGTAAGAGGACGGGGACATCCCAGAGAAGAGTTCCATAAAAAGTAGACACCCTTAATGGGCGTGGTGGCTCTGTGGCCACGGCTGAGTTTTCATGTACTGCAATCTGGCAGCAAACATGTCCACTGGTGTCAGGGGCCGGGTGAGGGTTTCTGGCTGCGTGCCCGGATGTGAGCCAAGAGCAGATCAGTGGCGCCATCCAGCAGCGAGGGCAGCAGCTCCTGTTCCTCAGGGGTGAAGCAGCCAAGGACATAGGCCTCCACTGCGCTGCGGTGTGTGGGGCGCCCGATGCCTACCCGCAGCCTCGGCATTGCCTGTGGGGAAGCCAGAAAGACCCAGGGAGTTTTGGTGAGGCCTGCTGGCACCCCCACACTGGGCACCCCCACCCAGGGCAGGCCAGAAGAGCAGACTCACGCTGGAGTTGAGACAGCTAATGCAGGAACGGACTCCATTATGGCCCCTTCAAGAGAGAAGGGAGGAGTTAGTTAGTTTAGGGGGTGAGGGCCAGCACCCTCCACCCCTTTCAGCCCCAGCAGGTTCAGAGTGGCCCATCCCTGGGAGCCTGGGTCAGAAGCCCTACTCCACTCTAGCTGACGGCTACATCCCAGCCCATCCGTTAACAGTGGGACCTCACCTGGCACTGCCCCCCAGCTTCAGCGCCAGTTTCCCCAGGGGCTTGTCCAGCTCATCGTGCACCAGGTAGACCTCCTCTGCCGTCAGCCCAAACAGCTCCGCTTGGCACAGGAAAAGTGTGGCCCTGGTTACCGCCCATTGGCACTCACTGGCATTGCCCCAGTTCACACAATGAACCCCACTTCACATATAAAGAAGCAGAGCCCCCCCCCCCGCCCCCAAAGTACCCAGCCTTGAAGCAGTTGGGAGCTCAACTGGGGCACCCAAGCAAACAGTGTGCGCTCTCGGGACCCTGCACCCGCCCGGCAGGTCCACCCCGGGAGCCCTCAACTCACCGGCCCGGGCCACGCTTCGCCCATTGGCGTTCATGAGCCGTCGCGGCCGGAGCAGAACCAGCTGGGCATCACCGAGCGGGGCCACGGCGAGGTCGGCGGCACAGCGCGGGTCGCGCACCCAGCTCTCCGCCACTCCTAGACGCCGTGCCAGCTGCCCCAGCACTGCCATACCCACGCTGTGCCGCGTGCTGGGGAGCCCGGGGTTCCCCAGGCCAGCCACCTGCAGGCGGCATCGGGGAAACTGAGACCACAAAACTCCCATCACCCCTGATCGCAGAGCATTCCCTGAAACCCAAAGTAAAGGATAAGTGGAAAGCTGGGCTAGAGTGAGGTAGGGTGCGACGAAGGGGCCCACGAACTTAAGGCTGAGCGACAGGACGCCGTATTACAGAAGTGAAGTGCCTAAAAGAAGCCCGTCTGGCATCCCACCCCTTGTCTAGATAAAACTACAGAGCCATTTGGGAGATTTACCCCGGAGGCAGTGGCAGAATGAGAACCAGGGGCCCCGAGCCCATACGTCACCACCCACACCCCACTCACCAGCCATCGCCTTCCTGGGGACCGAGGTTCCAAAACACACCGGCTCATCGCCCGACCCGGCGACAGCCAGGCCAGCAAAAGACCCGGCCACGACATGCCGCCCCAATTCACCGTCTGGACCCGCCCCCTTGGCGTCATCCAGCACGCAGCCAATCACATCGTCATCTGCTCCGGGGCGTCCAATCTGGGCCGCGTCTCGGGGGCCGCCATGTTTCCAAAAGGCGGAAGTGGCGAGGCGGTAGCCGCATCGGGATGTGGTTGTGCATTCCATCACGCGATGTCACCGTGTGCCTGTGGGGTTTATGTGGCATTGTCGGACCTCTTGCTTAATCTCCGACTTGTGTGACGAGAACCTCGTTATGCCACGGCTGTGGCCCTCCCTCGCTGCAAAAACCGAGCCAGAGACTTTAGTTGGTCTCGCTAATAACGCTTCAGTCTTTGGATTCTGGGGGCGTGGCCAAGTGGCCGACCACAGCTGTGGGCGTGCAAGAGCTGTTGCCTAGCAACTGCAGGAGCCGTAGTTGGGAGGCGGACGCGGGCTGGAAGGAGTTGGCACAGGCCCAGTCCGACAAGGGACCTCATGACAGACTCCCGGGAGGTGCAGCCTGGGGAGAAGGCTAAAGCCAAGGTAGAAAGCAGGGTAAAGAGAACGGAGCTGAACGCCAGAAAAGGCTTCAGTGTGGCCAAGGCAGGGCCAGCAGTGCAATTCAGTGAGGTCCTGGCCGCTGGGCCAAGGAAGAGAGCTGCGGACTCGGCCATGTGGAGGTGGGAGGGGTGGCCAGAGCTGGCATCCAGGTAGCGATAGATGTCCTTGGCCCAGGTGTTGGAGGGCTAGAGACGAGCAAGCTGAGAGATTCTGAGAAATTGGCCCAGACAGGACTTACTTGAGGACTGACTGAACGAGTGTCTCTGGTATGAATGGCTGGTGGGAGCGTGTCGCATGGAGGGCCAATGTCAGATGAGTTTACTCAGCATAGCTTTCTAGGAGTGGGAGCCCCACAGGATACCCAAGGGGCTAGGGTACCCCCAATGCCTGTGACTTAGCTCAGGGCCTGCCCTGGGGAACATGAGGCTATGGCTGAGACGAGGAGAGCAGAGGGTGGTGTGGGTGTGAGGATCTGGTCCTTAGGAAAGGCAGAGAAGCAGAACCGCAGAGAGCCCAGGACAGCCTTAGAGGAAGCAGGTCAGCAGAGCCGCAGCCCCCAGGCAGTGTGTGCCACCTTCCAGGCCCTGTTGCCACCCCTTCTCCATCACCCGGTAACATACCTGAGGAGAGGGCTAGGAATGTAGCTCAGTGCCGGAGCATACGCAAAGATCTGGGTTCCATCCCCAGTACAGAAAGAGAGTAAAACTGGGGAAGTGTATAGGTCGGATGGGGTCCTCTCTGAGGCCTCTTCCCATTTGCTGTCACTTGGTTCTAGGATGACCTGGAGTTTGGCCAGAACTCCCAAAGCAACATCCCAAAGCCACGGGTGATTCCAGTCCCAAAGGGGATCGTGCAGTGTATCTTTGGGACCAGCCAGGTGTTCCAGGGCATCGATGATGTAAAACCAAAGGTCACAGGGTTTACAGTGCCTCTCAAAGTCAGGGAGTAGTGAGTGACTGCCTCATCCTTGGGTCCTGTCTTCCTGCCCTATGTAGCCAGCTACTGTCTGTCACTCCCCCCCAGTCTGGAGCTCAATGAACCCCACTGTATAACAGAACTACTGCCAGTGGAGAAAAGACTGATGGCCAGGATGAATCCCAGAAATGCCCACCCATCCTTCCTGGCGCTCTGCCCACTCTTCTTCCCTCCCCCAGCTCCACTGCTTAACTCCCTGACCCTCAGCCCCAGCTGTGTGCCCTGGCTGGTGCAGTCAGGGCCAGCGCACCTGTCTGCTCTTTGGCGTCTGCAGCTACCACCGAGGCCAGGGATGCCTGGAGCAAGGGGACTGGGAAACGGCTGTGCTCTTCTTCTCCCGCGCCCTGCACTTGGATCCGGATCTGGTGAGAAGGCCTGGGTGGCCACGGACCGCCCCCAGTGCACACACACTCCTCCCTCCCTCTCTGTCACACCTGCCTGCCAGGCCCCTCCTCTCGGGACCACCAAGACCCTGCCAGTAACTGGGTGTGCAGCCTCAGGGTGGATGGTCAGAAGGGGACAGCAGCCTCGGTCCCCTCACCCGCAGGTAGACTTCTGGTTTTGTGGTGTTTTGTTTTGTTTTTTTTTGTATGAAGGATCGCACTCAGGACCTTGCACTTACTAGGTAGGTGCTTATGCCATCTCCTGGCTCCCCAGGTAGATTTTTTTTTTTTTTTTTTTTTTTTGTGGAACCAGGGATTGAACTCAGGCCCTTGCGCTTTGGCAAGTGCTTATTCTACTGAGCTATCTCTCCAGACCCCTGCCCCCCCCACCAGGTAGACTTCTACGCCTTACGGGCGGAGGCCTTCATCCAGCTCTGCGACTTCTCTTCGGCTGCCCAGAATCTGCGCAGGGCCTACTCAGCCCAGCCGGAGAACAGGAGGCACCTGGAGCGGCTCACCTTCGTGCTCTACCTGCAGGTGTCTGTGTGCTTCAGCTGGGGGGTGGGGCTCTCCTTGCTGCTGGGACCAGCCATCTCCTTGGGGACGCCTTCTCCCCGGGACTGCTTCCCTCTCACCTGCCCAGGGGCTACCTGCCAGGGGTGGGTAAAGTTCTGCAGCATAATGACATCGTCTCCTCAGCTCTGTCCAATGGCTCAGCCACCAGCCACATGAAAGGTGAGCCAGTGACTGTGGTTAAGTGTGACCAAGAAACAGGATTTAATTTTTGGGGTTTTGGTAGTAGGAATTGAACTCAGGACCTTGCACTTGCCAGACAGGTGCTGTGCCACTGAGCTATATCCCTGGCCTCTGAATTTAAATTTTATCAGGGCTGCAGGTGTAGCCAGGGAAGAACACTTGCCTAGCATGTGTGAGGCCCTGTGTTTGATCCCCAGCACCACAAAAGTAAACATCACATTTGATTTAGTTTTTTTTTTAGTTAGTTAGTTTTAATTAATTTAAATCTGTGTATGGGGCCGGAGAGATGGCTCAGTAGAATAAGCGCTTCCCTGGCAAGCACAAAGGCCTGAGTTCAATCCCCAGTTCTACAAAAAATAAATAAATTTGTGTAGCCACATGCAGCTGGTGGTTGTGGTAGTGGACAGATCTAGAGTGGAGATGCTGCAAAAGTGACAGTGACCTCATCTGCTGCTTATAATAAAATTCAAGCCAGGTGTCGTGGCTCATACCTGTAGTCTCAGCACTGGGGAGGCTGAAGCAGGCAGGAAGTAGGAGACAGGGCATGGCTAGGCTGGCTGGGGGAAAGGAACAGGACCCATCAATTATAAGGGCAAAGCCAGGACCCCACATGAAGAACTTCTCCCAGGTTCCTACAAGATGTGGACAGCATGAAGACCAGCTGTCAGCGGACACCACTCTGGAGTTCCGGAGATAGTCCCTGTGGCGTTTGCTCAAATACTTTTTGTACTTTTTTTTTTTTTAATTATTTTTTTTAAAGGCTACCTTTTTAAAAATTTATTTTTTTGCGTGTGTGGCCTGCTCAGCCCACCAGGGGGCGGGGCTGGCTGGCATGTGGTGCTGGGGGATTGAACCACAGTCCCTGTGATTTGCCAAGCTTGTTCTAAGTAGGTGCTTTAGACCACTGAGCCATCTCACCAGCCCTACTTTGTGTACTTTTATTTTTGTTTTTGTCCTCTGTTTATTTACTTATTTTTAAAATTAATTAATTAATTTATTTATTTATTTATTTATTTGGTACAGGGTCTCATTATTCAGCCTGGACTCATAGTGAGCCTCCAGTCTCAGCCTCCCCAGCACTGGGATTACAGGCATGTGCCACCACACCTGGCTTTGGTGGTTGGCATGGCGTGCTTAGGGCTCCAGGGCCAGCATGGCGCATGGTACCAGGGATCAAACCCTGGTCCTTGTGCTTGCCAAGCAGGCGCTTTGACTGCTGAGCTATCTCCCCAGCCTTATCCTTTGTTGTTGTTGTTTTTTGGTTTTTGGTTTTTTTTTGTATTTTAGGGAAGGGTCTACAGGGTGTTCAGGGTCTCACTACTAGATCAGACTCGTAGTGATCTGCCTGTTTACAGCCTCCCAAGAGCTGGGATTACAGGCACGCCATCAGCCCAGTCTCAATTGCTGTCTCAGCCCTGGGGGCGGGGGGGGGGGGAGGCCTGCACAGCATGCAGGCCCCAACTTCTGTTTAGCCCACATGCACTCTGCAATCTGGGTCCACACCCATTCACTCCTCACTTTACAAATAAACTTGGCAGTGTTATTGGCTTGTTTCATCCAGTTGTGGTTTTTTTGTTTATTTGTTTTTGTCATCTAATTCCTCCTTTGAGGCAAGAAGGACCTGGAATCCTTCTGATTGGTGAGTCATTTTTAAAGGCACTATCATACAACACGAGAATCACCGCAAGTTCAGCACCAGCCTGAGCTACATCAGTGAGTGTAAGAGGGGCCGGGTAGATGGCTCAGTAGAATAAGCACTTCCTGGCAAGTGCAAGGGTCTGAGTTCAATCCCCGGTTCCACAAAAAAAAAAAAAAAAAAAAAAAAAAAGGAGTTTAAGGCCAGCCTGGACTACACAGCAGATCCTGCCTCAAAAAATAGCCAGGAGGGGCTGGTAAGATGGCTTAGTGGTCTAAAGCACCTACTTGGAACAAGCTTGGCAAAGCACAGGGACCACGGTTCAATCCCACAGCACCACATGCCTGCCAGCCCCGCCCCCTGCTGGGCTGAGCTGGACACACACACACACACACACACACACACACACACAAATAAATAAAATTAAAAAAAAAAAAATAGCCAGGAGTGGTGGGCCGTAAGCCCAGCGCTTGGGAGGGTGAGGCAGGAGGATTGCTGTTAGTTTTAGGCCAGCCTGAACTGCATAGTGAGACCCTGTCTCAAAAAAAACTAAAACCAAAACAATAGTGAACTATGAGAATACCAATGAAGTCTTGATTTTTTTTTTTTTCCATTTGACAACTTCGATATCTTTTTTTCTTTTTGAGGGGAGTAGGGTCTCTCTATGTAGCCAAGTTTGTCTGGAACTCATAAATCCTTCTGCCTCAGCCTCCTAAGTGCTGGGGTTACAGGTGAGTGATCACCATGTCTAGCTTGGTGTCTTTAAAAGAAAAGAAAAAAAAAAATGTAATCCCAGAACTGGGGGAGACTGAGCCAGGAGATTTGCCACAAGTTTGAGGCCAAGCTGGGATACATTGTGAGTTCAAAGCCAGACCCACTATATAGATGAGACCCAACCTCAGTGCCACCCTCTAGAAAAAGTTATCCAGTTCTTTAAAAGAAGCATTTGGAAGTGCTCACCTGGCAAGCACAAGGACCTGAGTTCAAACCCTGGTTTGGCAAAAAAAAAAAAAAAAAAAAAAAAGCAAGCAAGCATTTGGGGGCCAGCAAGATAGCTCAGTGAACTAATCACTTGCTTAGGTGAGTGCAGGGACCAGAGTTTGATCCCGGCACCATATGCAGCGCCAGCCCCACCCCTGGGTGTGTTGAGCTGGCCACTGAGACCAGGAGTGGCGACACACACCTATAGTCCCATCACTGGGGAGGCTGAAATGGGAGGGTCACTACAAGTCCAAGCAGTATAATAAGACCCCGTACCAAATAACTAAAATTAAAGAAGAAAAGAAGCGTTTGAGCTGCTTAAGTTTTGTGCGTAAGCTATCTAGGGCCTTGTCCTATAGTGTCACTTCTTGTGTGACCTCAGGAAACTCACTCCACCTCTCTGAGACTCCTTTTCCTTCATCCTTCGGAGGCCACTGGCCAGGGCTGTGTGCTGTTCCCGTAAATGCTGCCGCTGTCCCCTGCTTTCTGGGTGGCTCTGCACCAGGCTCCATGTCACTGCTCCGTGGCCACTGTGTTTCCAGCCCTACCACCTTCCATCTCCGATTCTGCATATCTGAAAGTTTCTTGAAAGTTTCTTCCAGATTTAACAAGCTCTGTCCCTGTCTCTTGTCTCTCTCCCCTCTTCCGCAAAGTTGGCCTGGGGGTCACCAGCCCGATGGGCTGTCCCGGTGTCCCCAGGGCCAGTTCCTCTATGAACACTGCAACTTCAAGGACGCCCTGACAGTCTTCTCGCAGGCCGCTGAGCTGCAGCCCAAGAAGCCCTGCTTCCAGTACCGGAGGTGAGTGCCCAGCGTGGCGCCCAGGCCCGGCAGCCCCTGCCTGCCTGGTGTCGCCGAGACAGTGCATGCAAGCCCACCCCCGGCCTCTGCTGCCTGCAGCATGGCCTGCCTCCTGGCCCTCCAGCGCCACCACGACTGCCTGTCACTCATCACCAACGAGCTGAGGCAAGGCACACCCAGTGCTGACCTCTACATCCTGCGTGCCAAGATCTACAACCTCTTTCAGATGGTAAGCAGGGTGGATAGGGCGGGTGTGTAGTATCCACAGCCCTGGAGCCCCTAGAGTGTGGCAGGGCGACAGCCAGCCCAGACATTCTGACCCCTCAGCATACCTGGCGCCCTGCTGCCTGGGTAGAGGCCCTGCCCACAGAGCTGCCCGGCTGGATGGCTGTCCATAGTCACTTGGCTCTGGCTCTGTGTTGGGCCCATACTGGGCCCCATGAAAAACAAAGGGGAGGGACCCTGTGTCCCTGTTGCCCATCTATCTATCCTGCAGCTCTCAGCAGATAAGAGTACAAGGGATGATTTAGCTGCAGTTGTTGGAAGTGCCAGGCAGGGGTGTCCCAAGCACCTTAAGGCAGCCTCTTCTCCTCCCTAGTCCCTTCCCTCCTCTCCCCTTCCTTCTTTGCTTCCTCCTTCCTCCTTCCCATTTGCTTCCAAAGAGCCCTCTCCCAGGCTCACACAGACAGTGGTGGGACACACAGTTCAGGGAACAGCAGTGGGGCAAGGGAGATGGGTGTGTGTGTGCTGCAGTATCAGAGCCCTTGTGGGGTGCTCCAGGCTGTGAGGGGCAGTGGAGGGGGTGGCTGTAAGCTGGGAGCCAGGAGGAGGCCAAAGCAGGGCAGGAGAGCGAAGGTTCCACACAGCACCCTGTGCTCTGGCCTGGGTGGGCAGCAGACATGGAACAAGAGGGAAGGCAGGTGGAAGGGGTTCCTGGGTGGTAGGAAATAGATACCTACAATTCCAGAGGGGGTGCTGCCCTCCAGGAGTGGCTCCTGGGCGTGGGTTGGGGCCATCCAGGTGACTTGGCCCTCTGCCATGGGCCTGGGTGCCAACATCCCATAGGTAAGTGGGCGGGAGAACCATCAGGCCCATGAGAAGTAATTGTCTGTGTAGGCCTCGAGCCCCCTGCAGTGGGCAGGTAGAGAAACAGCCCCACAGTGACTTGTCCACGGTCACACACTTGCAGGGGTGCTGCCTGCCTAGAGTCCAAGTCCACCTGCTGCAAAGCCCTGCTCCTGGCGTCTGCCGTGTCCCCTGCCCTTGTCCCGCCACAGCCCCTGCACACACTGTTGCCCCGTCCACCTCCCAGTCGTTACCTGCAGGACACAGGGTGTTTGCCGAAACTGTTTGTCGACTGACTGACTGACCTGCACACCCCGGGGAAGGCATTTGCCTGGGGATGTTTTCCACGCATACTCAGGCTTCAATCTGTTCTTAGTGAGGTCTTGGGCTTTGGGGTCCGGAAGTGGGAGGAGTGCAGGGAGGGAATCACAGTCGCACTCAGGCAGCCACACTCTCCTCTGCCTCCAGAGCTTCACAGGAGTCCTATGAGGGACGCATCGTTATGCACCGTGAGGCTGACCCACCTCCCAGGTCATGTCTGGAAAGTGGAGAGGAAGGGCCAGGCTGGCATGGACAATCCCGCAGTGCTCCCCTCCTCCTTCAAGTGGGAGAACAGGCGGGGTGTTTTGGGACAGCCCAGCTCCAGCATAGGATTGTCCCCTCGCAGCATGAGAGCACAGGAAGATCTAGGACTGCATAGGCATAGTGTGAACGTTCTGATAAGCCCAGTCCTGGATGGCAGCAAGACCAGCCGGACCGCAGCAGTTTGGGTCAGGAAGAAAGGCCTATGTATGGGTGAGGATGAGAGAGACTGGCTTAAGATAATATCAAAGGCAGGACCTGGGAGGTGGCTCAGTAGAATAAGTGCTTCCCTGGCAAGTTCAAGGGCCTGAACCTCCACCAAAAAAAAAAAAAAAAAAAAAGAAAAAACATGATATCAATGGCAAGTGCATCCCTGGAGCCAGGGCCTGGTTGTAAAGCCAAACCCCATGGAGCCTGCTGCTGGTTTTATGTTTATATTTTTTTCCTGGGAATCTGTGAGGAAAAGCCAGCAAGGTTGTTCAGGGGCAATCAGGGTGGTGACCAACAAGATGGCTGTGGTCACATCAAGCTGTCTTCTGTATACACAGACAGTGAGGTGGGGTGCAGAGGAGGGATGGTGTGATGGTCACCTGTGTCCCTGGAGACTGCCCCTCCGCTCCCCACCTTGGGCAGAGAAGGGCTCAGCTCCTGGGGCCCCTGATGCCACCCCTGCCCCTGCAGCCCAACTTCTGCTACCGGGACCTGTGCAGCGCCTTGCTCTTGGACCCCGAGCACCCACAGGCCAGGGTGCTGCTGCAGATGATGGTGGATCAGGCCCAGCAGGCCCACCAGGATGCCAGCGTCCTGGCCATCCAGGGCCGGCTGCAGCACGCCCTGCAGCGCATTAACTGTGCCATCGACAACAGCCCTCTGGACCCCACTCTCTTCCTCTTCCGGTACATGGTGGGGAGGAGCCGGCCCTGGCTCTCAGGTCCACCCTTCACAGCTTGCCACGTGGTCTCAGGAGAGCCCCTGACCCTCTTCCCATCTGTTTGCTTGCTCCTTACTTTCTACTGGGGTCACCGCTCCGAGGAGGGAAAGGGATGGCACCCAGGTATTCTGGGCATCCTAGATTTCCAGGCCTGTCCTGGGTGCCAGTTCACATTGGGAGCCCCCACCCTGCCCTCAGACTTATCGTGTGACTTGTGAAAAAGAAAGCCTGGGTGTCTGCATCTAAGCAGGGGGGCAAAACATGTGCTGCGAGTACCCGAGGGCTTCAGTATAGGTTGGCACACACCTGCTATTTTTGATAACTGAGGAGCACAGGACAAACGTAGGCCATGGAGTGAGAGCTGTCACCAGCCTCCCAGGCCATGGGTCAGCAGGCAGGATGAGCAGGGGCTTCCGGGCCACAGGCCACTCAGTGGGGGCTTTGGCCCTCCCTGCCAACTGCCCTGCCCCCCCCCAGGGGCACCATGTACCGAAGGCTGCAGGAGTTTGACGCAGCCGTGCAGGACTTCCTGAGGACCCTGGACATGTCGACCGACAGCCAGTGTGACATGGTGCGACAGGCGCAGCGCCAGCTGTTGCTGACCTACAACGACTTTGCCGTGCAGTGCTACAAACAGGGAGCCTACCAGCAGGGTGTGCTGCTGCTCAACAAGGCGCTGCGGGACGAACAATGCGAGAAGGGGCTCTATATCAACCGTGGTGGTGTGTGAGGACTGGGGACTGGGGGTTGGGGGTTGGAGGACATTTCTTTCTTTTTTCTTTCTTTTTTTTTTATTTTTTGGTGGAACCAGGGATTGAACTCAGGCCCTTGCGCTTGCCAGGGAAGCGCTTATTCTACTGAGCCATCTCCCCGGGGCCTAGGAGGGCATTTCATGGTCCCTGTGTCCCAGGGTCACCTTAGACAAACTGGGTACAGTATAGGCAACTGGGAGAAGATGCCCAGGGACACGGAAAACTGGGACCACCTGTGGATATCAGCGCCCAACCACCCACTGCCTGGGCTGGGCTGGAGCTCCTGGGCAGTGCGGGTTCACTGGGCCCCTATCTTCCGACCCTAGATTGCTTCTTCCAGTTGGGTAACCTGGCCTTTGCGGAGGCAGACTACAGCCAGGCCCTGGCTCTGAGCCCTCAGGACCAGGGCGCCAACATACGTATGTGTATCCTGCAGGAGACGCTGGGCTTCAGCAAACAGAAGTGCCGGTGCGGTGCGGAGGGCCGGGGCCGGCGGTGGGCGGGGCCGGCGGTGGGCGGGGCGGGACTCGGGTCTCCAGGAGCCCGCCTGCTAGCATCCCTGGGGAAAGCTGCCTCTGTCTACTAAATATTAACTTTCCTCTCCACATCTTCACTGCAAGTATGTCTCTCCTGACTGCTAATTGTGTTTTTAATGTAATTGTGTATGGTAAGGAAAGCATTTAAATATTCACTAACATATAACTGTAAATGATGCCAAAATGTACCTCTCAGCTCTTCCATTCCCCCAAGATTGTTAATGATTCTTCCAGACTGTGAGCTAAGCATACCTTAACAATTATTATTTACAAAAGTGAAACATTTCCTCCATGTTGGGGATCAAACCCAGGCCTTTGTGTATGTTAGGCAAGTGCTCTGCCTTTAAGGTACATCCTCTGTCGATTGCTCTGCTTTGTGGTGTTTCTCTAATTTGGCATTATTTAATCGGACTCAGATTAGGTTTTTCACTCCCATTGGCTAGGTTAATGAGAGCCCCAGAAAGGCTTCCCTTACTCCAAGATCATAACTGGAGTTTCATACCAGTATGTAAGGATCGTAGCTGTCCAGGGTGTGGCTGGCAGGAGGGGAACAGAGGATCATGGTGTGGCGAGCAGGGACCCCTGGTTTTTCTCCCAGTCTTTGGGAGAGGCCAGGAGTCCCATATTCCTGAAGCAGACGCAGGTCACAGCAGTCTGGGGCCCTCTGCACCTGGCAGGCAGTTCCAGAAGGCAGAGGCCCACTTCTCAGCGGCCATTCAGCACAACCCCCGGAGGGCCCAATGCTACCTGTGCAGGGCGAAGAACCGCCAGATCCTACAGGACATGTTCGGAGCCCGTCAGGATGTTGCCACTGTGCTGCTCCTGAACCCTAAGCAACCCAAGGTGGGGTCCTCAGGAGGGCAGGTGGGCTCCAAAGTCAGAGTTCGGGGTCTGGCTGGAGTCAAGAGCTCTGTCCCTGAGAAATCTGCCTTGAAAATGGTAACAATACTTCTCAGTTGCAGCTATTGATAACAATCAACAGCTAGTGCCAGAATTCTTTCTGTAAGCCATGCAGAGTTCTTACCACTTCAATCCCACCACTCCCTTCAAGCCTCCTTCCCACCCTCCAAGTCCAGTTATGTTATCTTTACCTGTATCTACAGACGCTAAGAGCGAGGCCCTGAGAAGGAATCCTTGCCCCCGCTCAGAGGTCAGACCTGTCTGAAAGGATCTATCAGGCCTCTGTGTTAGACTGGTTCCTCTCAGTCTCCTGCTCCTCCCAGAGTGAAAGGGTCCAACCCTTTAGAAAGAACTCCCAGGCCCTCTCCATTCTGCACCAGGAGTGCCATCTAGGACTTCGAGGCAGAGACCCAGCCACCTGCCACCTGCTGTGGCCACACCCAGCTCTGGTCACCCCTTTCCTGGTAGCTCTTCCCACTGATGACCAGCCTCTTTCCGGGCATGTCGGTGGAGGAGGTGCTCAGCAGCCAGGTGGGCCACCTGGCCAAGCTGCAGCTGGAGCGGATGATGGAGAGAGACGCGCAGGGCAAGGTCCTGCAGGGCACTGTGGGGTGAGTTTCTGGAGTGAGGGCCACAGGGTGGGGGGGGGCTGGCTGCACCTCCCCACTCCTCGGGCCCCACTGCCTAGTCCTTGAGGGTGGCACTAGCATCCAGGTGACCAACCCAGGCCCCAGGGCCCTGGGCCCATGGCTTGGCATCATCCTCAGGGTTCGGCAGCTCGAGCGCCAGAAGGCCCAGGCCCTACAGCTCTCCTGGAAGCTCAAATGGTCTTTGTCTGTGACCCCCAAAGAGCCAGAATCTCCCTCCTGGATGGTACAGGTATCCCCCGAAGACTTATGGGAAGATACTGAGGCCCTCGAGGGCAAGAAAGCAAAGGAAGACAAAGATGAGGTGAGTGGGGCCCATGTCAGAGCCGGGGCCGCTCAGGGTCGGGGACAGGCACGTCTTTGGGGGAGGGGATGGGCCCAAGGAGCGTGCAGATGCGGGCTTCCCAAGGAAGCATGTCCCACACCTGCTTGGGCTCACCATCCCTGGCAGTGTGTACCGGCTCTGAAGATGCCGTGGAATGCAGCACAGATTGATAAGGCCACTGATCAAACAAACTGCTGAGCCGGCGTGGTGCGCGCCTGCAGTGCCAGCCTTCAGGAGGCTGAGGCAGGAGGCGCGCGGTAAAGTCAAGAATCACACGCACTATGTATAGCAATACCTTGGCCCAGAAAACAAAATGACAGCACCAAGAAAGTGAAAGCAAACAGTTGGATGACCAGTTGGGATCTTCACAAGATGCCATGGCTTGGGCCAACAGTGAACACATGCCCAGCTCCCAGAAGCCCCCTGGGGTACCTCCTGGTGGGTCCCTGGCCCGGCCCAGCCACAAAGCTGCCCTGATAGTTACCAGTTTTACCCACACCCACCTTTTCTTCATACAAATGGACAAATATGGGGTGGCTTCTTCCCCCAAATATGGCATCTGTGAGGTCCACAGAGTGGGCTGCTCCTTCTCACCACTGTGATGTGTGATCTCTTCCTCTGTCCCCTGGCTGGAGGACAGCAAGTAAGTCCATGCCCAAAGGAAGCTCCACGTAACAGGGTTGACTGCAGTACGAGCATCCCCTGCGGTTCTGCGGGCCCTTCATTTAACAGCTCACCTTTGAATAATGCAGGTGCACAGAGCTGCCATCTGTGTGCCCCAAGGTCACTGCGGTTCCACCCTAAGGGAATGCAGAGCTGTCGTGGGCAAAGCTCAGGGCCCAGTGCCCCTGTGAGGGCGACTGGTGCCTCTGGATTGTGCAGAGGGGCCAGCAGGCCCGGATGCAAACCGGCCTGTCCTCAGCTAAGTGGTCCCAGATGGGTGGCTGGGAAATGTGGCCCAAGAACAGTCACAGAAGAGGTCTCTCCCACCCCTGGATGTTCTGGGAGGGTGAAACAGGGCGCAGAGCGTGAGCAGGGAGCTCCTCTCCGCTGTCACTGCTGTTCCTACAGTGCAGCACTTCAGTTACAGAAGCCCCTGAGCTAATGGTATGCATCCTACAGAATGGAAACCAAAATCCCTATAGTCCCTGGGACAGCCTTGCTCAGGGCTCCAGGCCTGTGTGACCTGGCCACACCCCTTGCAGCAGTCCCCCGTGTCCCTGTACAACCCTCACAAGGTGTCTGTGAGGAGCTCCAAGCCCAGGAGTGTGACTGTTGGAGGATCCGAGCCAGCTGGTCTTCCACCTGCAACTGTCCCTCCTGTCTCCTGCTTTAGGACAAAGTGGAGCGCCCCCGCCGCCGCAAGGTGACCTCCCCATCAGATAGCTACCTCGAGCAGACGTCCTCGGGCTCCATCCTTGGCTGTAAGTCCCTGGCCTCGCTCACGGCCCATGTGAGCCAGAGTGGCACAGTGGTCAGTGGTTGAGGGTCACAAACTGGGTGTGATGGCACGTGTCTGCAATCTTAGCCTTTGGGAGACTGAGGCGGGAGGATCACTGAGAGTTTAAGCTCAGCCTGTGCTACATAGAGAGTTCAAGACCAGCCTGAGACCCCGTCTCTAACAAAACAAAGCAAAAATAGTTCAGAAGTCAGGATGTGTGACCTTGGGCTCCGCTGCTGATGGCCCAGTATCCTTGGGCAAGTGACACTAAAGTGGAAGTCACAGTCCCAACCTAGGGGAGAGGCAGGTAGCTAAGACTGGGAAGGGGCAGGACAGGGCACTGCTAGGGCAGAGGCCAAGGCCTTTGAGGGCACAGAGGAGCAAGGGACAGCCAGCAGATGGAACCCAGGTAGCAGGCCTTCTCCTTGGGCCATCCAGAGCCTGCACTAGGGATGCATGGGGGAGCTGCTCAGGGCAGGGACCAGCCTGAGACCTGCCCTTGGCATACCTCTCCCAGTCAGGACAGCATCCCTCTCAATGACGGAGACGTCCTCATCGTACCAGGCATATAGGAGCACCTCTACCACCTCTGGGATGCCCTCCGACTCCTCACTGCTTATGACTCAGTCCTCCGACTCCGGGAACAAGAGGGAGGCCCTAAGCCCAAGCCATCACCCCAGAAAATCCCCTGCTTCCCAGGCTCAGATGCAGGGTTCCCCCACGGCCACCCAGAGCCAGGGCTCCAGCAAGACCCAGGCACCCCAGGGTCAAAGGCAGAGGCCAAACAAGATCAAGGCCACCCATAGCCCAAGGCAGAGATTCAGAAAGGGCAAGGCTTCCCACAACCAGAAGTGGGGACGAGCCCAGAGTCCCAGAAAGACCAAGTCTAAGGTTTCCCAAGACCCAAGTGGGAACCTCAACAATACCAAGGCCAACCAGGGCCAGAGCTTGATGCCCGATGAGACCAAGGCTGCCCTCAGCTCAGGTCAGGGCACGAGCTCAAGTTCCAACAAGGCTAATGCCCCACGGAGACTGGGTCAGAGTGCCAGCAGGACCAAGGCTGCTTGGGGCCCTGACTATCACTCTGCGCTCCGAAGGCCCGAGTAAGTCCCCTGCTTCTTGCTGCGAGACGAGATTCTGCCCACGACACCAGCACACAGCAGAGCTGTCTCTTCCAGGGCAACAAACAGTCAGCCAACATTCCTACAGTCCCATGGCTAAGTTTATTATACTTGCTCATTTACAAAACTGAAAACTTCTAAATCCAGGTGCGGGTGGCAGCGTCGGTTTGTCCATGATCTGTGGTCCTGGATCAGAGGCTGAGGGGTAGGGGTCTAGTACCGGGGCAGGGGGCTCTGGTAAGAGCCAGGACAGAGGAAGCAGCTGAAATGGTGGTCCCTGAGTTACAATTCACAGGAAGCAGCCCCAGGCTGCAGGGCGAGGTCAAGACAGTAAAGTCTTGGGGTGCCAGGGGTTTCCCTGGAGGAGGTAGCCAAGGCTGTGGTGCCCGCTCCCCCAGTTCAGAGGCGGGGCCCTGCTAGCCCTTTGTTCTTGGCCCATTGATCTTGACTTCTGTATTCTGGGTCCCACTCTCAGCAGGCTTGAGACAAGGTCCCTCAGCGGAGGTCCCAGGCCTTTCCTGTGTGGCCCCGACCAGGTAGAGGAGGTAAGGATGCCAGGCTGGTGTCAGAGGAAGAGGGTGATCCGAGAAGCCACGGTCTTGCAGCCATTGGAGGAGAAAAGCTGCTCCTCCTCGGGGAAGAAGGTGGTGCTATCAAGTACAGCCTGCACCACCTCGTCCTGGGGCTCCAGCCCCAGCTGGGTCAGCTCATTGAGCACGCAGTGCCGCACATGGTGTCGCTGCAGCGGGAGGAAGGGGACCATGGCGTCCAGCAGGTGCTCCTCCACAATGCCCGAGCGCCAGAAGCCATCTGCAGGAAGGGCAGGAGGGGATGCTGTACCTCATGAGCTCATGCATGTGCGAAGAGGCCAGCCACGGGGGGGGCGGGGGGAGCTGCGATGCTGGCCACCCTCTGAGCACAGGCAGGGGTCCTATGACTCCCAGGCCACAGGGCCGTATACTTCTGTTTGTGGGGAACCAGGCCCACCCAAGGAGGCTGTCACATGGGGTCTGGGTGCAAAGCCAACTCACGGTGTGGGTTATCCAGCACAGCCCGGGACACGATGGGCTCCAGCTCCTGCAGGCCGATCTCCTCACGTTCCCGGCGGCTGCGCCACGCCTCCAAGGCCACCTGGTTGATCTGTTCACCACCAGTGTTGCTGAAACCATGGTGAACACCGCCCGAGAGTCAGAGGGGGTCAGGACTTGGCCTTCACTTCCCTGATACCACTGTGGCCCTGACTCAGCCAAACCCTGGGAAACAGCCCTCTCCTCTTCAGTTCCTGTAATATGGATCAGCGCCACGTGCTTCCCAGTTTGCATACACTTTTGTGTCCCTTCCCCGCCTGCCTCTCAGCCAGCCTCCAGGAGGATAATGGCCACTCAGAAGGACAGATGGGAGCTTGGACAGGTGAAGCTGTCTGGCCTGAGAAAACACAGCTAGGACCCAAGAAGCTAGGATGAAAGGACTAGAAGTCCAGTCCCACGTGCTCCTAGCCAGTGAAGAACAACTTGATGTACCAGGGTTCCCACAAAACAGCCGTAAGGACCCAAAGAACCAAGCAAGCCCAGCATGCTTTGAGGGTGTGCTAGGGCAGGTCAGTCATGAATGACAGCCTCACCAGCGTGAGGTGAGGGGCTTTGAAAATGCCTGTCTGGCCTGGGCATGGGGTGGGATGGGGTGGGATATTCCACAGGGAGCACTGGACCACTGGACCTCTGCAAGTTGTCACCCACCTGATGAAGATGAAGATGGCTTTGCGGTAGTTGGTGCCATACACAACCCAGGAGGCACCCAGGAAAGGCTGTAAGACCTCCATTAGCCCTGGGGGCAGCTTGTCCATCTCGTCAAAGAGAAAGAGGGAGCGGCCACAGGCAGTGAGGTTCCCCTGGACCCAGTTCTTAAGATCCTTCTACGGGGAGATACAGGCAACCTGGGGTGAGGGACACAGATGCTCCTCCGACCCCAGACTTCTCACCAAGGCAAGAACTAATCTCCTTCCCTGGGACACGTGGGATCTCAGAGTGGACCAGCTCTTTCACGAGGCTGATGGTGAAAGGGTGGCCCCGAAGGGTCACGCAGCCAGTCAGCAGAACAGGGACACAAACCCAAGCCCCAATCTCGCTGCGCTGGGCTTTCCCTCAGTGCTACCCACACTTCCTGTCCCTGCTCCCAATGATGTTGCCAGCTGGGCCAGGTCAGCCTAGAAAGCAAAGTGCCTTGCTGGCAACAACACTCATCAGAACTGGTGTTTGGGGGCCAGGGAGATACCTCAGTAGAATGAGCGCTTGCTTGGCAAGCTCAAGGGCCTGAATTCAACCCCCAGTGGCGAAAAAAAAAAAAAAAAAAAAAAAAAAAGCTGGTGTTCACTGTTTCCTCTGCGGTGCAAACTGGGGCTAAGCGCTTCACAGGAAGAGAACACTGTCTGGCAAACTGGCACTCAATAAGCGATACCTGCAACTGGAGAAACCTACATCCTTCACAACTCTGGCAGCAGACGCCATGACTGCCCACCACACCTTGGCATCAGAGAAAACTCCCCGCGAAGTGGGAGCGCCCTTCCCAAGCCCTGGGCAGGATGGGTCCTGAGGGCTGAGGTCCAGTTGGCTGTGTGGCCCCGGGCGAGTGGCTGCCCTCTCTGGGCTTAGCTCTCGCTGCTCGTGGTCCTTCACCCTGCAAGGCTGTAGCATGGTACTCCAGGAAGTGTGCGGCCTACCTTGTAGCGCTCGATGTGGGTGGGGTGCGGGAAGTGGATGATGGGAGAGAAGTGGTGTACGTGGGGGCTGCGGAGGCCGCCCTGGAAGAGGTACTGCGCCAGCAGGGAGCTAACGTAAGACTTGCCGGTGCCGGTCCAGCCGTGCAGGGAGAGGACCAGTGGCTTCTTTGGAGCCGGGTCCTGCACAAAGGACTTCAGCGACTTCAAGACCAGCGCCTTGGCCAGATGCTGGCCGGCCAGATGCCGGGCCAGGTCACACTCCAGGCCTGGGCCACAAAAGAACAGTATCAAAGATGAGAACGCATCCCTGGCAATGAAGAGGCTCAAGGGAGAAGTCACATCTGCCACCTGGGAAAGCCTGGGTGTGGGATGCAGTAGGACATGGGACCCGTGGGGGCGGGGGTCCTACGGCTGTAGCGGGGCACGCAGACTGGCTCAGCTCTGCAGCGCCCCCACTCGGTTATTCTGTAGGTAGACTGCAGCCTCAGGTGAGCACGAGCTGCCAAAAGGATGCTGCCGAGACCCCCTAACGGTCACGTGAGGTTCCCAGAGCAGGCTCCTGCCTGGTCGGCCAGTACGCTCCGTGAAAGGCTGTCACGACCCCTGGGACCCTGCTGTCAAGGGTCTCTCTCCATGCTGACAAGTCCTCGGGGACCTCCAGCGGGCACCCCAAACTCTCGCCTCAGGTTCCCCCCCAATCCCGCTGGGTTCCCTTTCCAGATCCATAGATGTCCAGCTCGGGGCCCGCTCTCCACCCGTAGCTCCCAGGTCCCTCACCCGGCAGGTCCGGCCGGAAGTCGCATTCGCAGAAGGAACCAAAGTTGCAGCGCAGCGAAGTCAAGTCCCAGGTGGCGGCCGCGGCAGAGACCAGCGCCAGTAGCCCGGGGAGCGAGCCCCAGGGCCGGCAGCTGCGTGTCGCTGCCGCCATCCGTAGGAGGCCGGAGCTTGGTCGGAGGCCGCCAACCCCTAGACCTGAGAACTACAGCTCCCACCGTGCACCGCTCAGGGGCAGCCATACCCGTGGCCTACAACTCCCAGCGCTCCCCGCGCGTTCCTTAAAGCCCCCCCCCCCCCCCCCCCC